ACCACCCCCAAGCCGCCACCCAGGGGGGCGGGTGGACAACAGTGAGAGACGTACAGCGCCGAGCACCCCCAGCGCGCCCCCGCTCACCCCGCTCGCTGCCCGGCCCCAGCCCGGCACGGAGGCTCTCGGCGGCCCGGCGGAAGTAGCCCGCGGCGTCGGGATCCAGGCGGGGCCGCGCCCCCAGCCCCGGGGGGGTCCGACCCGGGCCGCCGCCTCTTGCGCCCAACGCCGCCGCCTCGGGGCGGGTCCGCCATAACCCGGCCCGGAGCGCACGTGGGGCCCGCGAGAGGGGCTCGGCTACCGCGGCATGCCCCGCCCCATCCCGGCATGCAGCGCGCCCCGCCCCTGTCCCGGCATGCCCCGCGCACTAAGCCACAAGTCCTATGGGGGGGGCGGGGCTTCATCTAGTGCCGCCAACACAAACCAGAAGACCCCCGCCCCGCCCCTAGACCCCGCCTATGCCCCGCCCCTTTCCTGGGGCCCCGCCCCCGCCCGCTCCATCCCCCCTCCCTCTATCCCTCACTCTCCTCCGGCCCTCACCCTCACTCAGTTTCACCGGGCTGGGGGGCACTGGGGTGGGGCCAGGGATGAGGGGTTTGGGGTGCAGAAGGGGGCAATGGGCTGGGGCAGGGGGTTGGGATGTGGGAGGGGGTTTGGGGTCCCAGTGAGTCTCACTGCGGCTCCCGGAAGCAGCCGCCAGGTCCCTGCACCCCTAGGTGCTTGGGCAGCCAGGGAGGCTCTGCATGCTGCCCTCAGGCCTGCAGGTACCGCCCCCACAGCTCACATTGGTCACGGTTCCTGGCCAATAGGAGCTGTGGAGCCAGCCCTTGGGGCCAGGGCAGCATATGGAGCATCTGTGGCCGCCAGGACCTGGGAGCCACGAGGAGCCAGGGCAGGCAGGGAGCCTGCCTTAGCCCCCGGACCTCTTTGGAGCCGCCAGGGTCCCTTTTCGACCAGGTGTTTCGGTCGAAAACCAGATGCCTAGCAACCCTAGCCTCATCCTGCACATGCAGGAGCCCCCTGGCACAGTGCCCCCTGTGGCCAGGCCGAGAGGCGGGACAGGGCCGGGACCCTCTGGCACAGTGCCCCCTGTGGCCAGGCCGAGAGGTGGGACAGGGCCGGGACCCCCTGGCGCAGTGCCCCCTGTGGCCAGGCCGAGAGGGGGGGCTGGGCTGGGACCCTCTGGCACAGCGCCCCACCAGGACCCACCCCCTGGTCCATGGGCCCGGCTTGTCACCCCTGTGCCCTGCGTGGGGCTGGTTCACACTGTGTCAGGCTCGAATGGGCCCAGGTCTGTGTCCCCGCAGGGCAGGGGCCATACATCGACTGGCAGATCCCTGCTCCAGCGCCAAGCCCCGCAGGAATCCACAACCATGCCCCGTGCCCTGGGGGCACCCCCCAATGACTCGGCTCTGACATCACCCAGCCCTTACTGCCCAGGCTGTGCAAAGCTAATGCGTCACATCTACGCACCTACGTGGGCCCAAGACTGACTGTGAGTAGGTGGGTGGGTGGGGAGTTGGCATTCCCCGGGGCAGACGGGGAAGAACCCAGGTGTCCAGGTGTAAGAGAATACTGGGGAATGCTGGGCTGGTGCCAACTGGCCAGGCTTCCCGACCTTGTGTGACTCACGATTCCCCTCCCGGCTGGGACGCCAACACCCACCGAAAGCAGCAATTAGGGTGCGTTCGACCTGAACACTCAGCATGGCTCAGAGTGACAGGGCTGGGCGGGGAGCAGAACCCAGGAGCCCAATCCACTGGACCCCACTCCCCTCCCCAAACTGGCATAGAACCCAGGAGTTCTGGCTCCCAGCCCCCTGCTCTAACCACTAGACTCCCCTCCCCTCCCAGAACTGGGGATAGAACTCAGGAGTCCTGGGCCCTAGTTGCACCCACCCACCGACTAGATCCCATGAAAGTTTGGAAACATTCCCCCCACCCCCAACATTTACTCAAACCCTGCCCCTTTAAGAGCGAAGCAGCCCCTTTAAGAATGGGGACTTTCTCTCCCGCTTGGCGGGCTGTTCTCTATGCTCGGTGCAGGGAAGGAGAGGGATGGTAAAGTCCTAGCAGACTCTCCCCTCTCTGTGTGCGGTGGTTGGTATTGCCCGCAGGAGTCCTGCGCTGCAGTCAGCCGGGCGGTTCTATCTCACCCCTGCCTCCCGCCCGCGCTTTGGTATTGCCCCTTGGGGGCCTCTGGGTGCAGCCAGTCCGGCCCCCGTGGCCCTCCGCAGGTTGGTATCGCCGCATTGGGAGCCCGGCCAGTTTCTCCGGGAGAGACCATTCCATGCCCTGGGCGGGGGGAGGCCTCGGAATCCGGATCAAGGGGGATGCCTCCGGGTTCAGCGCCCCTGGGGCGGGGCTAAGCAGGCAGGGGCGGGCAGGAGGTGAGGGGCATGCAATGGCCTGGCCCAGTGGCTACTCTGACCCAGTCCCAGAATGCACCTGGCGGCATGATCTGGGGTTGGCATGAGTGGCAGTGTGAATCCACTGGGCCCTCGGACGCCTGGGTTCCTTGTCGTGCAAGTAGCCGCTGGGGGTCCCCCGGACACCTGGGTCCCTCGTCGTGCACGCAGCCCTGGGGGCCTGAGTTCCCCGAGTCGGGGATGGGCACAGCGGGGCTGTCTCGGTGCTGGATCCCCCCAACCCTCACCTCTCCTCTCCTTTAGATCCAGTAGGTTCAGAGTCTGGACCCTGATTTCTTGTCTCTGGGCTCCCCCACGGCTGAGTCACCATGGTGAGTGCAGTCCCATCGGCTACCCCAGCCCCCACCCATTGCCCCTCAGGGGGTGATCCAAGCCCCACTCCCCAGTTACTGCCCTGGGGTAACTGAACACAACCCCAGGCACACTGCATGCCTGGGTTCCCGGCCCCGTGCCCAATACAGAGGCAGTCTCCAGCGACCTCCCAGGGATTACTGCTACCCCCCAGGGGTGTTCCTGCCCCTAGAACTGCCCCACAGGATCTGGTTTCATATTCAGGGTTGTGGGTGCAATCACGTGGCCCCGACACCTGCCCTTGCTCAATTCCATAATGCACCTGGGTGGGGAGCATGGTGTGAAGGCCTGGGGCAGCAACCACCCCTCCCCATTTACACAGCCTCCTCCCCCCCAGCACGGCCGTCTGAAGGTAAAGACGACGGAGGAGCAGGCCGAGGCCAAGCGCCTGGAGCGGGAGAAGAAGCTACGTCAATACGTAGCCGCCACGACCGCCATCTTTGAGAAGGTGAGGTGGGCTGGGGGCATGCCCTGCGCCCTGCTGGCTGGGGGCAGGTGCGGGGAGCAGGCTTCCTGCTGATCTTTCACACCTGACCCTTGCGCTCAGCATGGCTTCCTGGGGTGCAGTATGACCTTTATGCTCAGCCACTGCACATTGACCTTTGACCCCATGGCCTTTCCCTCGCTCTGCTTGGTCAGTCTGT